GCAGGCACAGCATCCACTTTTCTATGTGCATGAATGTGTGTGGGGGTGTGTTACATGTGTGTGTGTGTGTGTGTGTGTATACCTGTGTTGCTGCTGAGGGTGTATCACTACATGACTGCATGATTACATGATTACATAATTGCATGGGAGAAGGCGAGAAGATCGACTCGACCATCCTCACTCGTGTGCATGTCTTGCCGCTTGTGCATGTGCATGTGTATGTGTATATGTATGTGTATGTATATGCGTCGTCTACTCACTGAGCACTGTTGCAATGTGATTATCCTTCTGTGGTGACGTGGTCGGTTGGCCGAGGTCAACCGGGCGTGCCAGCAAAGAAGGAGGGGAAAAGGCAGAGTGCGTAGTTGGGAAAGACGTGGGGTCCGAAGCGGCATGACGTGCTTGTGAGCGAGAAAGCATGGACATGGACGATGGACGCCCTGCGCCGCCTTTCAAAACACGCATCTATCTGCGGGAGAGGGATACGTGTTCATGTATGTGTTCGTGTTCGTGTATGTGTGCGTGTTTGTGCATGTGCGTGTATGTGCTTACGTGTCATGAGGGAGTGAGCACACTCAAGAGATGACAGTGGCAGGCAAATCAAGCCACACGTGCGGTCGGATAGAGGCAGTCCGACTGCAGCCACGAGAGAGATTCGGTGTACCAACCATGTCAGTCAGCATGATGGAAGACGGGAAGAGAAAAAGGGCGGCACGCGTTCGGGGTCGTCGGTGATCTCACGCGCGATTTCAGACCAACTCGTCTCGGTGCTGGATCCGCGTCTGCTGCTGGGATGCTACTTCGCCTCGGTAGCATGAAGCTCGCCCAGCCATCACTTTGATCACCTCCCCTTGGCGTCGTATCGCTTGGACGCTCTGTCCTTGACGCCATTGCGTTAGACAGGCTTGTAGGCACTGTGAATCCCAGTTCCGAAGAGCCCTGAAACGACACACAGACAGACAGAGGGCGACTTGAGCGCACAGATCTCTTGACAATGTGACTGGTGGTGCTCACCATGTGTGGATGTTGTTGGTGGCGATGCGACGATGCTGGAAGGTGAAGGTGGGACGCCCACGACCACCACCGTTGATAGGGGGACCGTTCTTGGGACGCGCATCATGAGAAGGCGGAGGGGCAGAGAAGCCAAGGCAAGGGGGAGCCAGGCACCCGAACACTGGTCAGAAACACAACAGCAAGAAGTCGGAGGCCATCGCCTTGCCTGAACAGCAGAGTCGCCATCGTGTTTTTGCATGATGAGGGGTAGTGAGTGACCACAATGGGTTTCTGTGAGGCTACGTACCCGAGGGAAGCTGAGGGCATATCATCAGAAGGCGAATGAAGAGGCTGAGTGAGCTAAGCCCGCACAGGCTACAGTGTTTACAAACGGTCGGGAGAGGAACTCGACGAACAACAAATCCCGGGACTCGTGCTTGGACTCGTGTGCACTCGCGAGGTGCTGCGACGTCATGTTGCTGTGGCACGAGTGAAAACACACATGAATGACAGCTTCAGCAGGGTGCCAGGACTCCCACGCCTGAGAGGAAGACGCGCTGCACAGCAGCCGGTCCTGTATCCATGCGAATGGTCATTGGCGGGTTGGGCCATTCGGATAGCGAAGCGGAGGAAGGAGTTTTTGTCACTGTCTGTGATCTTTCTCAGCGGATGTGTTGATGTACACGTGAGATGTATCATGTGTCATATTCATGCGCCTTCCGCACCCTGCAGTCGACAATGGTGCTGTTCGGAGCCCAGCAGTTGAAGGGAGGGAATGCTACAGGGTGGCATGAAATGACACACGGACAGTTAACACACGAGAAGAAACATGACACTGAAGAGCATTTCACCTCATCATTGATGATATACCGCTGCGCTGATGAAGGGAGGGAGATGTCAGCATCTCTGCCGTGTTCTAGAATTGAGCCACTATCGGCGGAGAGCTACGGGCGGTGGGGGGACGAGGCAGCTGCCCTTCTCAACCGTATGGCCCGGCACATGCGGCCACCTGTCTATATGGAGGAGGGCGATGTGGAGTTTTTTCGTGAGACAGCAGTGGAGAGGTGGTGGGCTCGACTTAGTGTGCTGCTGCAAAAGGGCAACGCACACATGGTGCGGAGCAGGGCGTGGCGGGCAAGTAGGTGGAATGGGCAGGAGAGGGCGGGTTTTGCTGAGGGGCTGCCGCTAGAGCGGGGGCCTTTCCACCCTCGTTGATTGCAGGGTGTGGGTGGGTGGAGCATGGGTAGGTAGCGAATGTTTTGATCGTTGCTGTCAATAGTTTAGATGCGAACATGTAATCGACCGTCCCAGCGCATGGACACACGGACAATCTTACCCTTAACCACGAATTGAGCAGCTATGAAACTGACATGCCAAGTGAGTTTTTCAGTAGCTGCGTTGGGTTCGAACTCGGGACAATTCGGATCACGACAGGAACTCCTCCGCCACTCAGATAAGCGGTCTGAGGCGTAAGGCGCGCCCTTCACCGCACTGATCCTGCTCAAACGTCAGGCCTCCTCACATTTCTCAAACACTCAACTCGGCCCCGACCCTGTGGCGGTATTGACTCGAGTGGCGCTAAGCGGTCTGAGGCGTAAGGCGCGCCCTTCACCGCACTGATCCTGCTCAAACGTCAGGCCTCCTCACATTTCTCAAACACTCAACTCGGCCCCGACCCTGTGGCGGTATTGACTCGAGTGGCGCTTTCAGTAGCTGCGTTGGGTTCGAACTCGGGACAATTCGGATCACGACACGAACTCCTCCGCCACTCAGATAACCGGTCTGAGCCGTAAGGCGCGCCCTTCACCGCACTGACCCTGCTCAAACGTCAGGCCTCCTCACATTAGGGAAGGACAAAACAGGAGCAAGATCGGGGAAAATGATGTTAAAACTGAATGAGCTGGCATTGGACTGTTGAACTGTTGATTCAATGTTGCTTGGTGAAGCTTTTTCACGCTCCAGTGTGGCCACTCGGGCCCTCTGGAGGTTGGCATAGTGTCCGTCGTTCAAAGTTACATCACTCACCCATTCTACTACTAGACACCGCTCCATCGGCACAACCACAAGCCGACCCGGGAGCACCGCCAACGCGATCTTGTCAACAATGACATGGGTCGAGACATGGGTGTCAACAATGCATAGTGACGCTGTCATTGTGCACGGATTCCATGATCTTCTTTCAGGACCCTCTACCAACCTGTGCACACACGACACCCACGGACACCGAGCATACAAGACAGACGCGTACACGCACCCCCACGACATATACCTGGCACACCACCTCCCCCGGCCCAGGGGAGTATGCAAGCCGGGCAGCCCTGCCGCCATCAGGGTGAAAACGAACTGGCCTTTTACGAAATCCAGGGGTAGCCAAGGGAAACCTTGGTGTGCCGGACACCCGCCCTGGTCTCTGCCTCGTTTTTGCAGGGCTGCTAATCGTTTCCATGAATGCATTTCATGCGTTCATAGGAGACGCGAATGAATGAATGAATGAAAAAATGAACGCTGTCACTGTCACCAGCACGGATTCCATAGATCTTCTTTCCTTCCGAGATCGGAACAGAGTCTTTAGGATAGTATCGGCACTGACTGACGATTAAGTTCGCTGTAAGTGTAAGTGGACTTGTGTAATGACTTGGACTTTTGCTGATGCATGTGCTGCGCTGTACGGACATGCCATCAAGTTGAAGGAGGGGCAACGCTTTTCATTGATCGATCAGACACAACCCACTCGCAACCGTTTTGATCTATCAATCACACGAGTTACTCACTATAGGGGTATATATCAGGAATGTCCCCCGTCCAGTCACAGCCATACTCGGAGCAGACGAGGCCGTCACCCTCCTCATCAACGTATGCAGCACCACCACAGGCCTCACACACATACACCACCTCATCCTCACTCGTATCATACTGATTCTCAGGATCCTGCTGCATATCCAGCCACTCACGCATGTCCTCCTCGCAGCCACAGGCGTCGGCGCGGCCGTCCTCGTCCTCCTCGTCTCCGCTATCATTGTCTCCTTCACCATCCACAGATACGTGCTCCTCCTCTCCGCTATCATTGTCTCCTTCACCATCCAAACATTGACTGCAAGGACACACAAACAGCTCTCCATCACGTGAAGTCTCGTGTATCCTCACCTTACTCAGTGGCATTGGCGGGGGCAGACGCAGAAGGCTGGACAGATGCCGCAGCGGCCTTGGGCCGTGCGGCCCCGCCAGCCGACAAGCCTTCGTCTGTGTAGAGACACACACGCATACACGCATACTTGTCGAGCAGAAGTCGGGTATGTACTTACATTTGCTCATGTCGCTCTTCTCACGTCCCAGTGGTTTCCCCCCTGCCTTGGCCTTCGGTGCAGCTGGAGGGACCATCGGCTCGGTGCTGGATTGGGAGGCTGCCAACGAGGCGCTCGGCTGCTTGGACGGAGGCGGCGGGAGCTTCGGGACCACGGGGGCTTTGCTTTTGGCTTTCGCCGCTGGTGCCTCCTGCCCGCCCCCTGTGGTGGCCTTGACCTTCCTGGCCTCTGCACAGAACAGAGACACACAACGCACTGACACATCAGACCGGGCACAAGCCGCTGCTCACTTGGCGGATTCTTTGCATTTGGATACGCAAGCAGACTGGCATTCTCTGCGGCTTCCTCTGAGAAGCCTTGTCCAATCATCTTCTCCTTCAACTCGATCCGAGCCTGGTACCGACTCTTATGTGGCCGCTTCTTCTGCGGGGGCCCAGCTGGTCCTCCCTCCGTCCCGAACAATGCGTCACCATCTGTGTCATCAAAGACACATCACAGCAGAAGGCAGAAGACTTGGCTTGCTTGCTCGCACCTTTGCCCTGCTCAAGCAGCTCGTCCTCCTCCAGGTCGATGGCGGTGGCTTCCGTTGCACCTTCCTCACCCCGCGTGGCTGTCTCCGTGGTCGGCTGGCCTGCAGCTGGCTGAGTGTTCGGAAACATCTCGAGCATGACAGACGACGACACCTGAGAATAAGTATGATGCCCGGATGATCGCATGAGAGAGTCGCTATTTGTGTCACTTACCTGCGGCTTGGGCGGCCCTTCAGTCGACGCTAATTTAGCGTCTCGTCGATCAAAAGAAACTTTTGATTCGCTCTTTTAAGAGCGCTCCCACACGGCTGGAAAGTGTTCGGGGCTGGATACTGTGCCGTATTAGCTCGTAGTCCCCATCACTTGTTCCGAGGGCTGCAATAGTGTTGGCAACCCTTGCATGCGCCGTGGCCGTGGCCGTGGAGACCAATAGAAAGGCACTGGGAATAGAGAGAGGAAGGACAATTCTCTTGACCGGGAGGGACGCTACGGCGCTCATCGGGGTTGGGCTGTTGCTTGCAGAAGCTCAGAGCTTGATGAAGCTCTTGGGCAAGCGACAGGGTGCGGTGATCGGAAGGGGAGAGTAAGATGGGGATGGAATGGCGAGCCGTGGGCGAGGAGGGGCTTTGGGACATGCTCAATACGGTCTTGGATAGCTGCAACGCAGAGGAAAACAACTTTTGATAGAGTGACATGTTGACGTGAGTAGCCCCTGTGGACTCGTTTGGTAAATGGATTCTCTTGAGAGAGGAAGCTCTGCAGCCCATCCAAGCCCTGATGACAGTGCACCAAATTCGTACAACAGCAACACTTCATTACTGCACTAGCGTGTATGTGTAGTGGAGAGACGACACAAAAGAGCAGAGAAACCAACGGTATGGTGGAATGCAGTGGAGAGACGCCAGATTATCATTTGTGCGAGACATTGAGGAGACGGCCTCGTGCTGCCTTTTTTCGCCGTTGCTTTCTGCCTCCGCCTGCAAAGTTGTTTGTTCTATCTACTGAGACGGCGTTGGGTGCTCAGGGACACATTTTTTCGTGGGGAAGACGTGCGGCGGTCTTTTCTGGTGCTTTTTTCGCCGTTTCTTTTGCTTTTCTTGTGCCCAGCGTGCTCCATTGGGTTTCGTTGGCTGGTGTGTGACCTCCTACGTGCCTTCTGCAGTGTCCCTTTGGTTCTCGCTCTGTTTGTCTTGTGTTCACCGCTTCTGGTGCTGTTTTCACCGTTTTTTTCGCTCCTCCTGGACGCCCCTGAGGTGGGGGGGTCTGCTGTGTGCTGCTGGTGTGCTCAAAAGGGTGCGGGCAATGGTTGGAATTTTTCCCACGGGTTTTCATGAAAAAGCTTGCCAAAGCTCGCGTCAAACAACAACCCATCCGTCTAGTGCTCTGGTTAGGGTGCTCCCTGAAACTCTCGCATCACGAAATCGAAAATGACACACGTTCGCGGGTCTATGGATGCCCCCCTCTCATCCGAGAGAGCAGTGGACTGCATCGGAACGCTAGACGAGCCCGTCGTCGACACTATCGTACGAGGCCGTACATCCAGCCTGTGTCTCTCCCATCCTTCTCACATGTGTGCTTAGATGCGAGATCTCCGCAGCGTCGGCAAGAAACTGTACTACGTGATGCTGCCGCGCTCTCGATCCGAGGCTGGCGCTGGGCTAAAGCAGTGTAGGCAGGACCGGTGAAATGGCGGGTTAAGAAGTCCCCCTGTGCTTGTGGTGTGCAGGGGATCTCTGGGGACCGCTCTTCCTATGCCTCATCCTTTCGATGTATGCAACCCACGCCGTGCCACCCACGCTTCCTTTCACGTGTGTTTTGTCCTAGCATTCTGTGGGCAAATGCCCCAGAGAATCAGCAAGAGGTGGTATTCGGCCTCGTCTATGTCATTGTGTGGCTGGGTGCTGTCGTGGTGACATTCAACGCCCTGCTGCTTGGTGGAAAGATGTAGGAAAATGTCGTGCCAGTGAAGTTCATGATTAATTTGGTTCGTGTTCATGCAGATCTTTCTTCCAGAGCGTTTGCGTCCTCGGCTACTGCATCTGTCCCCTTGTCCTGGCAGCGTTTGCGTGCCTCTTCCTTCCCTCGTCGATCGGATCTATCGTCAAAGTGAGGGCTGTCACGGTGGCACTTCACCACACGATACGCCCCGTCCTGTGAATCTCGTCCACTGTATCTGCAGTTTATCCTGATGCTTATCGCCCTCCACTGGGCGACTGGAGGCAGGAAGCGATCACAGACACAATCACGAACATGGTGACTGTTTTTCATTTCATCTCTTCAGCTTCTGTCGGATTCATGTCGGAACTCGTTGCCGAGGACCGCAAGGCACTAGCAGTCTACCCCGTGTGGCTCTTCTACGTCGCAATCGCGTGGCTGATCCTGCTCAATTAGTGAAAGATGGATCGATTTATGAACGTGAGTCTGTGTACACCTGCATTAGAGCTGACGTGCTCAATTGATGAAATTCATGTAAGTGGATGCTTCAAGCCTCCCCGACGCAATTATTGAGACAACCTCATGGAGGCTGTTGAGAGGAGGGATAAAGGCGACAAGCCAAAGCATACTTATCCTTTTCCGTCCTGCCGAGGGACTGCGTAGAAAAGTGCGAGATGATTGCAGCTGGTGTCTCACCGTCGGTCCAGGTGTCTTCCAGCTGGTTGGAGACATGCTTAGTTTTCCCGTCATGTATACACGTGACAGATTGAGTGACATCTCCAGCACCGTAATCATATGTCCAGATCGGAGAAATTATAGAATCGGCCCGCATGGGGTTTCAACGATGACTGCATGCCCACTCTCTCCAGTTCTAAGGAAGGTCCAGTACCTTACGATAATGTGGGCAGTGTCTCAGCGATACAAGAGGCACGAAACGAATCGAGTGTGTCAGCACGCACATACAACCGATGACACAGCAAGCATAGTTATGCTTCCACAGGCAGCAACGAATCAAAGGGAGGGTCATACACCCCACCAACCACGGCATGACACGCAAAGCAGCAGCCCAATAGACAGGCTGTCAACACAGATGGCTGCTATGCAGTATGTACTCAAACCAACAGTGACCCTCCGCCCATTCGATGACAAGTCGGATGTGACGTCATCAAACAGGTCAAGGCAGCACGCCTAAACTACCCATACCTGAAAAGCACTTCATACGACTTGTATGTGATGCCATACGAGGGCGTGCAAGAGACAACTTGAATGACTGGATCTGCAAGAGTCTGACCCGAATGGCGTGTTTTTGAAGGGCGATGGACCGGCCAAACTCGAAGCTCTCTTGGGGTACTTGCTAAAGCAATTCGGTCAGAGTAGTTTCCCAGCACTCGTCAAGAACGAAAAGATGAAAGCCTGGAAACCGAATCCAGAGCACGACTTCCGGCAATCATTCGACGAGTTGCCGACATGAGTGACCAAAACAGACAAAAGAAAACTGTCACAAATCGACACACACCACCATGAGCACCAGACGTGTGCCATCCGCCTAGCGGAGATGGATGCGTCGGCGGGCGTGTGGCATGGGACCGAATGAGACATACGTGAATGAATGTCATACCAGGGCTCCTTGTCACCGTCCGCCGGGCGCCTGGGCACAAACCAGACAAACGACTCGAGGGAGAGAATGGCACAGGAAAGGGAAACTCCGCAAAAAGGGGCTTCGAGCACTCAGACGCCGAAGACAAACGCAACCAACACTTCCATCATCCGGTAAGGATGTTCAACGATGCACGTCAGCCAACCCCCCCGTACATCAGCATGTGGTCGATGATAAATTGATGTTTGATGCAGCTAGCGTGTTGCGGGAGCAGTTGACCTGAAACCCAAGCGAATGGACAAACATGAGACTAGGCCTTCGCTAGCCGCCTAGGGCATGCGACGGGGCATGCACACGGCCCTGAGGAAACTCCAGCGCGCACATTAGACCATGGCCTTACAGAATGTACGTATTCGCACACACTCAGCCGGCCAGCCAGTACACTCGCAGACGCCCACAAGGCACGACCCTCACAGAGGCACGACCCTCACAGAGTAGGAAAGGTATCCTAGCAGACAGAGAGCAGAGGAGGTCGGTCCAGAGCTGCGCAGCCGGACACACACACGGACACGGATCTCCCCCAGTCGCCTTCGCAGGAACGAAAGCTCAACTAAGACGCTTAATGCGCTTAATGAACGGATGGGGCAGAGAGGCTTCCTCACTCACTGCGCTTGTCTTTCCAAAGGAAGGGCGTGCGCTCAGAATTCGCTCACTCTTCATAGGCATCGGGAGCTGCTCCTTTGAGCTCCTTCATTACCATATCCGAAATGAACTTGTGAACCCTGCCGCGATGCTGCAAGTGAGAGAAGAGAAAACATCTTGCCTCTCCTGTGCCACAAATGGGGCCCGGCAGTCCCTCTCCGAGTTTGGGAGAGGAGCTCGTGCTGCCAGCACTCCATGAGGCTTTTGCGTGGTCACAGAACAAACATGGAGTTGGACATAGAAAAGGAATTGTTGGGACATGTTCGGTCCACCTGCTCTTTCCATTCCTTCTCTCTTGAGGGCCCTCCTTCGCAGCTTGTTGGCCTTGACATAGCTGTCAAAATAGCTCTCCTGCACATTGGAAAGGTTTCGTGAGTCACCGCATCTTTCCTTTGTACGTCATTCACGGGGATTTCTGGGCGAGGCCGAAGCTCCGATTCAAAATGCGCGAAGTTGCATTGTGCCCCACGGAAGCACTCTGTTTTCAGCCATGGACACCTGCAAGAGAAGGCAGCAACAGGTCACCAGTATCTTCGCGTCCACTCTTCGCTTACATTTTGGTCTTTTCCATCATGGCCCGAAGCCGCATTTTAGTACGGAGACAATCGTCGTCACCCAACAATACCTCCTCTCCCATAATGGAAAACAGTAGGCGACGATCGTTTTTGGACTTTTTTTTGCGAAACGGTAGGCCCGCAAAAAGTATCGTTTACACGGAAGCATGGGCGACCAGCACGTCTGATCTAGAGTCGGTATGGATTTGCACACGCAAAGACACAAGCGATCGCAGAAACACATGCGCACCATACGGCATGGATGATAGCAGCACTCTGATATAAACCGAACAGCCCATCAAACGCAATCACACAAGCGACTATCATATGCCCTACCAAACCCAGTTAACCAACCAACCAAACCACCACGCAACCCAAGCCCGACCCATAACAACACGTCCCCAAATCAATCCCTCACGGCCGGTCCTGGCAGGCAAACGTGCGGGTTTGTGCCCTGTAGGGCCCTCGAGAGATGAGGTCCTCAGGAAACAGACCCGCCCGCTGCTGTGTCCGAGCATCGGCCGCATGATGAGCGCGGCAGGACACTTGAAAAGCATTCCAGCGCATCAGCGCGACCGACAAACACTGCCCCCAATGGTTCATGACACCCTCATGAAAAAATGCACGGTCTTCTGCAGAGCTGGCGGGTGGGGGGACGCGCCGCTGCGCCAGACGGCGAAGCAGAGTGAGGGTCTCGCCACCCCAACGGCCGAACGTCTCCGCTGCTAGGGGCACGAAGGTGTAGCCTTTCTGCCGACAGTTGGCACCGTACTTGCGATCTTTGTCGCGCTCCGCCCCTGCAGCTGCAAAACCGTCCGGCCGACGTGCGTTGCTGCGGTTGACCTGGGTGTGGTGGGCGGTTGAGTTCTCGGGCCGACCCGCAAAAAGTCCAGGCCCGCAATGTCGCCTGTCGGTCACCTCCGTTCCCGGAATGGATCACGCATTGCGCCCGAACAGCGGACCCCACAAGTTTGAGCAGGAAAGGGCAAGGTCACTGCGTCCGTGTAGAAGTGGGTGCGCGATGTGTCTTTTTTGTATTAAGACCATAACTACTTTCCGATGGTGTTGATGGTCTGGACTGGCTTCAACCTCCATGTCTTGATCTCCTGGGGCCCACCGAGAACACGTTCTCACGAGAAACAGACTCCTTCTCATTCAAAACAGACTCGAGAATGCCCAGGAAGCGAATGAATGGATGAATGAATGAATGAATCAACGAATGATTGACGCATGAGGGCAGCAACTTGCAGTCACTGCAATGTGGCTCTCTGATCCACGACAAACTGACCGACCGGGTTGAGCCGCCACCTTTTTCACTTTGGGGGAGATTTGTATGGGGGTGTGCCATATCTCTGCACCCAGACCATAAATCAAAAATCCCTCGGGTGGAAATGTCAAGCATGTCAACAGCATCACACTCACCAAAAATGAGCCCCGTAGCCATCAACCGTGAAGAGTTATTAACGATTTCCTGAGAAATCCCATGTACCCGATGGCTTGTTGGCGTCGTATCTCTGCAACGAGACACGCAATCAAAAATCCGTCGGGTGCAAATTACGGGGTGTCTCTGCTGAACACCCTGACAAAGGGGCGTGCCGATTGGTGCTCACCTCATGGAGTTATTAGTGATTGATCGACACGAAGTACATGACCGATCACTCGTTTCTCTCCACCCTGACCGCCAATCCACAAACCGCCCGGCAGAAACACTCAGAGGGTGACAGCAATCACCACACAAAGAGACGGGCCGCTGCTCGACTTCCTCACCGAGTTATTACCGATTGCCTGGCGGATACACACGACCGATCACTCGTTTCTCTCCACCCTGACCGCCAATCCACAAAGCGCCCGGCAGAAACACTCAGAGGGTGACAGGCAATCACCACACAAAGAGACGGGCCGACATCGCCAACCGGTCCGAACAACCAAGCCAACTCATCAATCAGCCCCCTCCCGCCCCCACTGCTTCCGCAGAGGCTCTCTCTTGCCTGCCTTCAAGTGTCGCTGCCTCATGGCTTCTGCAATGGGGACCTCGACCTCTCCGCATTTACAGTTCTCCAACTCATCCCTCCTTCTTCAACCACAATGGGCCGCACCAAAGTGCAAAAGAACACCGGGATGTTTCCCAAGGGTCAGAACGCCCACCCCCCCAAGAAGCGCCGCACCGACAGCGGGGAGGGCGAGCAGCAAGACGAGCAGCAGGACGACGACCTTGACCACCATGGAGATGCCGAGGACAAGATCATGGAGGGGGGCGAGGCAGATGGCGATGATGCCCAGATGGAGGGGGGCGATGGGGAGGGAGGTGGCTGGGATGGCGAGGACGGCGATGGATCTGCTGGCGAGCCAGAAGGCAGCATGCACCTGTCCATCGAAGAGGAGGGTGAGAAGACCAGCCAGATGCGAAAGAATGGATAAACGTACACCAATCTCCATCTGTTCTGCTCTTTGTCAGAGCTGTCGTCATCCGCCTTTCGCAGGCGACTGGCGGAAGAAGCCCGCCACATCGATGGCGACGAGCCGGCCCCTGCATCCCCTGCCGCTGCAGCCGCCACCGCCCAACCTCAGCCACGCTACCACACCCGCCGCGTCTTGGCAGTCGAGAGTGCCGCTCAGGAGCGGGCAGCGGTCATCGCATCCCGGAGCACCGCCGCAAACCAGAGGGCCGGCAAGAACACACAACCCCGCGATCTCTCCGCCATGCCCAACAGCACCAGTGACCTCCTCAACCGACTCCTGAAGGTCGCCCGAGTGACCATCAAGCCCGGTGTGTCCGCCATCGACGCCCTGCTGGCATCATCGTGCGCCGAGACGGACGACTCCATCGTCAGGCTGTCTGCCACCAGCAATCTGGAGGATGAGCTGCGGGCATTCGAGATGCGCCATGTGGCCGATGCAGGAGGGCCTGCGGCTTCTCGGCCAGGAGCCATCCGCACCAGACTATCTCTTCTTCGAGACCTGGCTCGAGAAACGGCTGCAACTCAGGAAACCCAAAGCCATCCCCTGCGGTTGCCACTACGTCGCCCTCTGGCTGCGTGCACTCAAGCGGAGTGGCCGTGACGGAGAAGAGAGGGCGGCCAAGATCGAGGCGGGAGAGGACATCCGTCTACGCTCGCGCACCCAGGAGCCCACATCGCCCCGCACGACAGAACGGCTCTACGGCCAGCTGCGTCAGATCCTCTGCCTGATTGCCCCTCTCCCTTCCAGCCGTGACCTCAGTGAGCCCAGCGAGACAGACAGTGAGGAAGCGCCAGTCAGCACGGTCCGTGTGGAGAAGTTCGCCGACCTGCCCATCCGCCTCCAATTCGCCATGAAGCTACTGAAGCAGGCCATCTTCGACACACGCCTGTTTCGCCCTGGCGAGGTGAGAGACATACATAGGGAGGCAGCGGATATCTCTTCCTCTCATCGTTTGTCTGTGCTGTTGCAGTTCGTGTTTGGCGATGGGTACACCCTCATCAACTTCCTCGCCGATGCATGCGGCCGCGAGGTTGCCGTGCGGGTGCAGAAGCACGTCTGCCAGTGTGTTGAGGACCTCTACCCCATCCGCATGTCCACCGCCATTAAGCTGATCGCCTGCATCTCAGACGCCAAGTACGGTGCCCTGTCGCCGTTCATGAGCTGTCGAGAGACGGAGCACGGTGGGCGATACCGCATGCGGGGCGGCATCCTTCTCGACCGCACGGAGACCTCTGACGGCCGCACGATATCGGCGTTCGTCCCACGCATACTCAAGCCACTCGACAGCGTGAAGACCGACATCAAGCAGCTGGACCGCGAGATCGGCATTGAGTTGTATCGGGTTGACGCTGACGTTGACGGCCGCACGGTCACGTGCATGGCCGCCGAGATCGGCCCAATTCTGCGCGCCTTCCTCAAGCTGCCTGCATACGCCGCACCCACCAGCATCAAGCCGGGTGTGAACCACATCGAAATGGACCTGCTCTTCGATGGGACCGGTCTGACACGGATGTCTGTCACAGAGGACAACAAAGCCGTCGCACTCTACGTTCGCCTGGGCGGCCTAAGCAATGAGCAGCTGTTCGAGCCTCGCTGGCTGCATCCAGTGTGTGTGTTCCGCGGTGAGTGTATGATTCACTGTGAAAGTGCGATGGACCTCTATATGTGCTGTTTTACAGGGCGTGAGTCGTGGGACGCCTTCCAACACATCTTCACTCAAGTGGTGGACAAAATCAAGGAGCGTCTTGAGCTTGGCATTGAGGTGTGGGTGGCCGACGCGGAGGGCAGGCAGCGCCGCTCGACGATTCACGGTACCGTCTCTCACATTTGGGCTTCACACGTATTGCACAACGTCTGCTCATTGCATTTTCTCTTTCAGGACGATTGAATGTGCGTCCTGACGTCGCCAAGCGTCTGCGCGAGTTCATCGACACCCACAAGGCCGAGATCAAGCCTGCCACCCTCACATTCATCGACACACACCTCAAGAAGCCAGCCAGCGTACGCGTTGGTGCAGACGGTGCATCCTTCCCACTGGTGCTGGGCCTGAGTGGCGGATCGGCGACGCATCGATGCCACCTGTGCTCGCTGCCGACCGACAGCTGGATGGACATGTCACGCATCCGGCGTATGAACCTCACTGGCGACATCAACCCCCCCACCCGCACCTTCGAGGCCATGTCCGCCCAGGCCAGTCAATCATTACACTGCATGCACGTCGACACCTCTTTGTGTGCAGGGTGGGATTTGCATGCCCTGCTGCTCTACTTCAGAGGCATGGCCATCACGCTGCTGAGCATCAAGCCCTCTCAGAGCCGCGTTGAACAGTACGGCGTCTCGGCTGTCGCCTTCATGGAGAGGTGGTGCCGCCTCTTCCGTGCAGGGGTCGACAAGCCCGACCTCCCCACCTGCCTCCACTGGATCGTGGAACACGGCAGATTCGCCCTCATCTGCCACGGCTCTCTTGCACCATTCATCACTCAGGCCAGCGAGGCCAAACACAAAGAGCTGAAGCACGCATTCAGACACTGCAGCAGCCACGGGGGCGGCCGGACGGACGACGCAGGTATACGGAGGCATTCAGTGTTGATATGGCGATTCCACGGATGTCTGTTTGTGGTGTGTCAGGTGAGTTGATGCCGGGCTACGAGAGCACCGGCCAGACACTTCAGCACATGATCCGGGTGCAGTACCTGGGCTTCCATGACAGCACATCCTACCTCGCACCGCGCACATACAAACGGCATTCATCCGAGGAGGAGGAGGACCTTTACGCCAACGGCAAAGGGTACTTCTGGCAGTGTGTAAATCGCTTCTTCTCTGGCAAATGATCATGTTGATGCATTGATAGACTGGCGATTCATATAGAGGTTTGCTTCAGCCACATACATGTCCATTGTACATGTATACTTCACGTCATGACAGACTCAAACCGTCTCTCAATTGATGACCGACACAGACAAGCAATCAGAACGTGTCAAAATCAAGAAGGGGCAAACAGACGGCTTCAGAAGAAACAAGCAGTGTGCAGCCTGCACACACAAAGGCACACCGTCAATCATCATCGGCATCTCAATCGTGTGTCACCTTACCACACTCGGCGCACTTCACATTCTGTTCAACCGTCACCTCATCATCGACCTCTCCTGTGCATAGCGAAAGAATGAACGGAGCCGCCTCAATGTGAGCTTTCTTACCTGCAGCAGATGCAGTGGTGCGACGCGACGCCATCATCAGATCGTGAGCGGCAGGTGAGTGGCGACGAGCACCAGACGGCTCCCCAGCTGGCTTATGTTCTGTCTTGGTCTTCTTGGTAGACGTCCTGTCGATGCCGCCGGGACCGCTCCCATCCCCATTTGCCCTGTCGGGAAGGTGGTCCTCATCGCGGTCGTCGTCGTCATCGCCGTCTGTGTACTTCCGCTTGCCTGAGTGAGACAGACACGCAGACAGATATGCCGTAATCTCTTGTGTCTGTCTCACTATTACCCAGCGGTTCGTCACGGTCTTTTTGACGCTGCTTCAGCTCAGCCACCTTATCAGGGAAGAGCTCTGCAAGAGAACAGGTAGATCACATCGATGCGCCATTGACATCCACCCGCAGGCTAATTTTCCAGGTCGTCGAGTGAGAGGATCTCCCTGAGTGGCTTGAAGAACCAGTCGGCCAGGACGTCAGCGTGGAAACACTCTTGTGGAGGCTCAAAACCACTCTCGTGGTGATCCATCAGGTAGAAGAATACCTAAGACAGGAAGGGACCGACACACAAGGGGATGCTATCTGTGTGTTCATTGATTGCCGACTGACCCTGCTGATGTAATCCCGCATGGGCTGGCTCTCGGTGTCCCATTCGGACTCCGCTGCCGAGCGGCGCAGAGATGACAGCTCATTGCGGTGAGTGGCGCACGGGATGGAGACGAAGAGCTCGTCGTCAGCCTCCTGCATATGATGCGGAGCCTCGTCCTCAGGCTCCTTGTCCGGCGGGAAATTGCCGCCCTCACCCAGCTGCCCACGCAAGAAGAGCTGCATTGAACACACAATGGCTTCGCAGGTAAAGTAACTGTGCATTCGTCCGTTTCAAATCTCACCTGTTTGTCCTGCTGTGAGCCAAACTTCTTGCCGAGGAAATCGACCTCGGCGTGTTTGCCGCCCTTCAGGCTACCCTCGTGGTTGAAGACATGCAGCTGGAAGCGAGTGAGGATGCTCCAGTCACTGGACGTGGCAGACGACTCGATTGAGACGATGACAGGCGTGTTGAACACCGCAACACCGCGGCCTCCTGTGTGAAGACACATATGGACATCAGGTGAGAGGACAGTCAGCGTCTGTGTGTGGGGGGGGGTTTTTGTGTGAGAGTGTGTGTGTGTGTGTGTGTTGCAGGTCTACCGGCCTCAAGCTCCTCGTAAATGAGCTCGGGGACGATGAGGGTGCGTGCTTCGTCAACGCCCATGAAGAGAAACGTGCTGCGCACATTGGCACGGCCCGAGGAGAGCTCTTGTGGCGACTTCCAGACCTCCAGGACCGACACGCGGCCATCCTGCAGCACACACATGAGCGATGGGCAACCCAAGTCCTCCCCGGCTCATTCCGAGGTGCCCACCTGCTGAATCGCGAGCGGGTCGCTGTCCTGATCGAAGAGCTGATATGCTGGCAGGCGCCGAAATGCTTCGACAAGACGAGCGGCCTTTGCAGCGTTCACCTTGAGCTTGACTGATGTCCAGAGCCCTTCGATCTGCATCTTCAGGTGGGTGGGGACGGACGGAGGCAGCGAATGCGGTGTGAATCGATTGGCGTAGTCGGCGGCGGCAGCAGAGGGTGAGCAAGAGCAAGCGAAGAGGTCATCCTCTCTCTTGCGCACACGTGTGTGTGTGTGTGTCAACCCACCTGACTGGCTTGAGGGCGTCAGGGTATTTGTGGGAATCAGGAGAGCCGTCCTTCGAGAGCGATGCTCCTCACGGCCGACATGCATCATGCCGACATGCCGCACCCTCACAATCCTTCCCTCTTGTCTGTCTACTTCCTTGACGACAAGAGCAAAACAATAGTCATCCAGACGAAGCAACCGATTGACCGTAGATACCTCATGCAGCTTTGGACACCGCGAGTGTACAGCCCGCGCTCTCTCCAACTCTCTCTCTGACTTCAGAAAGCATTGACTGGTGCGTGCTGCGTTAGATCTCGAGTGTATCTACTGGAAAACTGGCCACAGCGCGAAAAGCACACAGCTTGTCTGAACACCCGAACACAGCAGAGAGTCAGGAATCTTGCCGACAGCCTTCCGAAGCAGGGTTTCTCGGGTCGCAGGGTTTATCGGGTCCAGGGTTTCTTGGGTTAAGGGCACATTCATTGGAAAACTGGCACATCCAGCGGAAAACTGGCACATCGATTGGAAAACTGGCACATTGACTGGAAACTGACATCAGGCAATGGAAAACTGGGTGGAGAGACTGGAAAACTGGGTAGAGGCAGTGGAAAACTGGCATCAGGCAATGGAAAACTGGGTACAGGCGGCAGAGAACCCGTTTTCCACGTCGGATGGCCAGTTTTCCACGTGGGAGCGCCAGTTTTCCACGCAGGTGGTCAGTTTTCCACTGCAGATCACCAGTTTTCCGGGCCCCTGGCTCAGTTTTCCGCATGGGGCCCCGGTTTTCCGCACAGAACACAGTTTCCCACCCCCCTGGGTCAGTTTTCTGGCAATGTGGCGCTTGTAGGGTGATTCGGCACTGAAGTTAACCCTCACTACAAGCATCGTCCTCATCCGTCCCTCCTGAACCAGCATCGTCCTCATCCGTCCCTCCTCGGCGTCATAGACGTCCATCTCGATGCCCGCCCAAAGCAGTCGCAGGAATTCGATGAGGCGGCTGCTGACGGCGTCCAGACCGGCCGGCTTGCCGTGACTGGGGGAGGTGAGGTCGGCACTCGCGAAGAGGATCATCAGCTCATAGCGCATGGGGCTGGGGATGTTGTGCACGACGATGTAGACATTCTCGATTTTGATGGCGCCGGCCCTGGTGGGGTTGCAGGGAGTGAAGATGGGCAGGCGAGGGATGGAGGAGTCGGTGGCTGCGGCATGGTGATGGAAGGGGTGTCGTCGATACACCGAGCCGCTGAACACATTCACCAAGCGCAGGTTGTTCGAGAGCGTCAGCGGCCCCCCACTCTCGTTCAAAGAGTAAGACACTCACACACATGCATCCATACGCACACATGAATTAATGCTGTCCCTGTATGGCCAGGACTGTTCTGCACCTGTTTGTGATCTTCGTGCTCGCCCACTATGACGACACCTTCGAGGCTGACGCTATCTTTCTGGGTAAGGAACGGCAGCGATGCACTGACGAGCATACATGCGACACTTTGTCATGTTTTGCTCGATCCAGAGCGTCGTTTGTATCAGGTTGTTCGACTTCTACAGCTACGAGTGTTCGACGGCGTGATGGATGCGGGCATCCCAATGCTGCTTGGCCTCAAGCCGCCCGCCGGGGGCGGAGGGTCGCCAATCGAAACCAAGGCCGGTCTGCTTGAATTCCGTACGGTGGCAGCGAAGCTCAAATTCGAGGTCGACGTGCCCGTCGCCGGTCTTGAAGACCTGCAGCGAGAGGCGGCGCGAATGATCATGGGCGGCGAGGATGAGGGGGACGACTTGATTTGAGTGTGGATCGGTGTCCATCGCATGTGTGTGAGTGTCCTTGGCTTGCTGGTCGATAGATGAGTTCATCCACCCCATCCATCCAGCTCATCAGACAGGGCAGGCAGGCAGCCACACAGCCGGCTCCATCCAGCCCATGAGCCAGAAGGGTCAGTCAGTCAATCTGTCTATCTATCTATCTATCTGTCGAGCTGTCTGTCTGTCTGTCCGTACGTCTGTGGGTGGGTGGGTGGGTGTGGAGGGAGGGATGGATTGATGGATGTGGGTGTGTGGCTTGCATTTGGGTAGAGTAGTGGCGGGCGAAGGGCATTTTGATATCGCATATCCTTCTGGTCTGCCGCGGCCTCGTGTGTGTGTTGTGAATAGACGTCTGGTGTACATATGACCTCTGAATTGACTCAAAGTCGTCGGATCTCTTCATGTACATGTCTCAAACAGAGAGAACTGGTGATGGACAGCAGAGAACCGGTGCTCCACTGCAGAGAACTGGTGCTGGACAGCAGAGAACTGGTGCTGCACTGCAGAGAACCGGTGCTGTACTGCAGAGAACTGGTGATTTACAGCAGAGAACTGGTTCTGGCTGGAAAGGTCGGTTCTCGCGGTGTGGAACTGGTTCTCCCACCACGGAACGTCTGCCTTGGCGACGCCATCGGCTCCTTACTTACCTTCTGTGAATCCTGCAGAAGAGCTGTCCGCATCTGTTGCAGAGGAAGGGCAGGAAGTCGAGCTGCTTGCAGTAGGCGAACGAGCAGTGGCTGCCCACGTCTTCCTGCATGGCTGCACCGCGGGGGGAGATGCACAAACTGAACGGAAGATGTGGTGGCTGGTCCTCTCTCTGCGTGGCGTTGGGCTGACCTCACCAAGAGTGATCAGGGTGGCCTTCAACCTCAGACAGGCCTGATCGAGGACCCCTTTTGCGAGCTCAAGCGAGCTTTGCAGATCTTCGCGCTTCTCTACCATCATGGGGCACGGGCATGTCGAGTGGCTGGGCGGGATGGGGAGATAGGCCGTGTGCATGCTTCTATGCATGTGCATGCTGCTAGTTTAGTGCGTGACATGGACAGAATCCCCTCGGGGTTACAGACACGAGTCTCGTTAAACACAATAACCAACCAACCATCTGTGTGACGGCATCAAGTGCAGCAGGCGACCACATCGACTGTTGATTCAATCAGGTACGCTTCACGAAATGCATGCACAAGAGATGGCAGCAAGGGATGAAGGCAAGCACTGATGAGTCCTGTGTTGCAGACGTAGTCCATCACCATGTCCGATCAGCCCGATAGCACCGCCCAGCTGCCTCTACCGAGTGACGGCATCGACCTCTGCTGGCAGACAGACACCGGCCCCGCCACCAAGCGGCTCGTCCACCGTATTCTGCGCCGTGAGCTAACGCCCGCCATCGCCACACGACTCATCCAGACCAAAGGAGCCAATCCCGACGCGCTGGTCGGCTTCCGCGAGAAGGCATCTGGAGTCCATCGACGCACCAAGTGGGTGCCGCTGCTGTCGCTGGCGATTGACGACCCGACCGGCAGCGTCCCCTCTGTGTGGCGGATGGATTCGGACCTCAAGACGCCCCTGCTGCTCACACCGTGGTCGTCACGCCAACTGCAGCGGGACATACTTCAGGCGCTCATCAGCTGCGGGGCCAACGTCAACTTCCATTATCCCGATCACGAGCTAGATCACGAGGGCATGCGGCCGATCCGTGTGGCGTCCGAGACGGGCAACATTGACGCAGTGGAGGTGCTGTTGGCCACAAATCAGGTCAACCATATATCTTTGCCCCTTGACGGCTTCTCTCCCCTCCGGCCATCGCAAGCCTATGGCGATGCCCTCATCGGTGTGGCCCGCCGGCTGCTGCAGCATGATCCGTCGAAGAGCGGCGTTGCGGTGCTCCTCGCAGCTACTTCACGACCCCTTCTGTCCAAGGCCTTCACGTACGAGTACATGGACACCCTGGTGCAGCACGGCAACCCCATACCGGCGGCCAATTTGCGTCTTATCCTGCGGTATGCTGCCGGCATAACGACCTGGTCAAGCCACTGGGTGGTGGACTACCTGTGCGAGCGTCTCGCCACTCCCGCTGACATCAGCCATGCACAGGTGGGTGTTTCCCCGCCGCTCCGGGGTGCCGCAAGTCAACTGGAAGAGCTGCTTGACGACAACGACAACGACAACGACGACGGCGACGACATGCGGGACGAGACAGCTGAGCGGATTCGCAACCGCAAGCTGATGGTGCGGTCCCTGCTGCGGGCGGGAGCCGACCTCTCAACAAACGTGCTTCCCACCAACACACCCCTTCAGCGCAAGCGGCGTGAGCTGGTGCTGAAGGAGTACGTGGCTGTACTCAACGAGCTGCCCTTCGTGGTCATGGACGCCATCAACGCCGCCCTCGGCCCCCAACGCGACGCCGACATCCTCATGACGCGCATTCTGCCTCTGGTGGACCACAACGACGAGGACGCCTCCCTCCCCCACCCGCCCTCCCTCTCCCCACTCTCATTCGGACCACAGGAGGCCGCCGCCATCGCATGGAAGATCGGGGCCTTCCTGCACGACCCACCCGCCGCACTCACCGCCATCGACAGCTACCTCACAAACGCATCGGCAATCAAGCGGCGCGTCCGGGGGGCCGTCGAGCATTTCGTCGAGTGGGCGGCGACCAAGACGGTCAGCAATCGGGAGGTGGTGGGCGGGTGGAGCCGGGGGCCGGACGGACAGATGGTGCGTGTGCCGCAGCTGCAGTGCTTCGCTGTCGACGCGGGGCAGCGCCACACACACAGGCGGCTGGGGTTCCGCGAGGTGGTGCATCGCGCCCGGCTGGATGAGGTGCGGCAACACGGGCTGGAGGTGGTCAAGGGCTTCAACAACGAGGAGGGCAATGACGACTGCCAGTTCCAGTGGGGCCGGCTGGGCTACGTCACCGGCCAGACAGGCCAGCAGTGGGTGTCGCTGGGCATCAACTGACCGATTGAACCGGTAGCTGAGAGAATGATGACTCGCTTTTGGTGGGGTGATACATGGTGTTGGCTTAAGTGCTGACTGTTTGCGCTGGCTGGTTCGTGTGATGTGATGCCTGCCTGTGTCGACTTGCCTTTTGTCCTTGCACATGTGTATCATCAAGCTGGTGAGGTGAATGGGCAGTGCGGTGGGCGGCAGGGAAACCGAGGTATGCACTTCACTTAACATAGATGCAATGCAGGCATTCACACACACAGAGAGATCCGTCCACCTGAGTTACTGCCATAAATGCAAAATGCTCCTCTAGACAGAGAGACAGACAGACAGACGGACAGACAGACAAGACAAAGGGACACACCCATCCAGCCGTCCAGCCTTTCCTCCGCTTCTCTCTCTCACTCCCTCTCACACACAGACGACTTGACAGCTGGCTTGGTCTCCCAAGTTCAGTAACATCTTGTAGCCGAATGCAATGGCGCTGCGCCGAGGTGCAGCATCAGGCCACGGGAGAATACTTACTCGCTGTCCTGCCAGTCACTTCGTCAGCCCAACCAACGACACGTACAGACTCTTTTTATTGATGATGATGTTCGTGCAGGGCCGGACCTTTATGTTGGTGATAAACCAGTCGATGATCCAGAAGAGACAAACACTCGGAGAGCGCCTCAACCAGCTGCCTCTCACATGTCTCAAGCTTCTCCTGCATTCATTCATGTGAGGGAACGGCGCGTTGCTCCGATCTTGAGGGCATCCTATCCAGCAAGGCGTCGATTCGATGCTGTCAAGGGGGCTTGGCATGACGAGACACGGCGAGCAATTGCGGAAAAGATCCACGAAAATATAGAATGTAGGTAGCGATGATCGACTTGCATAGACACACCAGAGAGGCACATGAATGACAAAATGAAATCCCCCTCTGCCAGTGAGAACTCGAGGGCGGATGCCCCCTGGTCGATGCATCGTGGGGACTGCCGAGGGAGCGCTCACCAGCCGGGCCGCTGCTGCCGCTGCTGAAGGGAATGGCTGCTCTTCCAGGACTATTTCCTGGCGCTGGGGCGAGGAGCCGAGCGAGTCACCAACTGGGCGGTCCTTGTGCCCGTGTGCGTCTGCATTGCTTTCGAAGTCCTCTGTACTCCTCCTCGTCTACCCTCGGGGCGGCATCGGGCTGAGAGGGAGGGGTGGGTGCAGGGGAAGGGGGTGGGGGAAGGGGCGGGGACGGTGGTCTTGGCTGGGTCTGGGCCGCTCGGCTTTCGAGGGTCTCTCGCGTCTCGTGCGCCTCCGATACCCCAGACTGATACCACACAGGGACCAACACCGCACAAGCAGGGAGTGAAGGGATGCATGTGTGAGTTTGTGAGGGTGGCAATGGTTCGTTTCCCACCTGCAGCGACTGGAGATATCCGGCGAACACAGACGCCTGTGCTGCCGTGAGTGGCTGCTCGCCGCCCCCAGCCTGTGGCGCAGCAGCAGACGGTTGCGATTCACCAACATCCTCTAGGCCACCCGCACCCTGCACACACACACAACAGCAGCAGCAAAGGGCTGTGAGAGCACCTTTCCTCAGAAGGCGAGGTTGAAGTATTTTCTGACCTGTTGGTCTGGCGATTGGTCGGCGTCTCCGTCAGCTGGTTCGCCACCCGTCAGCTGGTCACGCCTGTGCACACAGAAAGACATGCGCCATCGCAGAAACAAAGGCCAGATGAGACGACGCATTTCACACGCTCTCTGTCTTCCTGCAGGCTGCTCTTCGCTGCATGTGCGTGCGTGTGCGCATACCGGGTGTGCAGCCCTGACATGTAGTTCGCCTCATCTAGACACGCGAGTGCTGCGCTGCGCAGCGATGGCGGCACATCGCCATTGTCGATTCTGCCCATGCGGGCTCGCCGTCTGCTCCTGGCAGACATCCCTCTGTCGAGCAAGGCGTCGATTCGATGCTGTCAAGGGGGTTGGCATGACGTGACACGGCGAGCAGTTGAAAAAAGATCCACGAAAATACAAAATGTAGGTAGCGATAATCGACCTGCATACACACGCCAGAGAGACACATAATGTAGGGGTGTCCTGGATGTGTCTACGCACTAGTAATCGACATGCGGGTCTCACTCGTCGTCCTCCTCATCGCTGTCGTCATCATCGTCAGAAAAGGTCATCTCAGGCGGGGCCTCCCTCGGGGGCGGGGAGCTGGCGATAATCCTGAGAATGTCTGCATTCATTCCACACACACAACACACAAACAGGGACACACACAACATTTCACATCTGCCAGTCGTGCTCATGTGTACAAAGGTAGCAGCTGACCTGTGATGGTCTCGTTGGCGTAGCTGCCCAGCA